AATTTTTTTTTTTTTTTTTTTTTTTTTCTTACTAGCTAAATAAGAATAGAGATTATTAATAGATATTCTTAATAAAGGATTAGTGTTAATCATTTGCCTAATCTTAATTTTTATTAATAAGGGCGTAAAAGGAGGAAAAAGTTTATCTAATTGTCCCCCTAATTGTATACATTTATTAATATTTTTTTTAATTTTTGTGGTGTATATACAGCTCCCTTTCCTACTAGCCATAGTAATAAAAGAAAAAGATACACCTTTATTTATATAAGGTAATATACATAAATTAATCCAAGAAAAAGAGGAAGAATTATATGTATAAATACCCCATATATATATTAAGGATAGACCTAATGCATATATATCTATAGAAGGAAGAGACAATAATATTTTCTTTTTTTTCTCCTTTTTTTCCTCAATAATTAATTCCTTATTATCCTTATTATCCTTTATTATTATCTCCTTCTTTTCTTTTATTATTGTCTCTTTTTTTTCTTGTATAGGTGTCTCTTTTTTTTCTTGTATAGGTATCTCTTTTTTTTCTTGTATTTCTTTTTTTTTTTCTTTTTTTTCTTCTCCTTCTTCCTTCTCCTTATTAATAATATTTATATCTTTTTCTTTATTATTATTTATATTTATATTTATATTTATTGTCTCCTTTTCTCTCTCCATCTCTGGTGCCATAAAGGCAACTGTCCCCTTTAATAGTATTTCTTCCCCTATCCTTGTTGCCATACCGAAGTCTCCTGGTGCTATCTCTATCCTGTATACACCAGCAGCAGCAGCAGCAGCAGCAGCAGCAGCAGAAGCAGCAGCAGCAGCAGCAGAAGCAGCAGCAGAAGCAGCAGGTGTATGTATATATATTTATAGTACTGGGTTGCTGCTGTATATGTGTATATACATATAGGGTAACAACAACAACAACAGCAACAACAACAGCAGCAGCAGCAACACAACCATCAACAGCAGCAGCAGCAGCAGCAGCAGCAGCAGCAGCAACAGCAGCAGCAGGAAGAGGAAGATTACTTACTGTTGATTATTATGTATAAAATATAATAAATTAGCTGGCTTAATATCTAGATGAGTAAAAGAGAAGAAAGTATGCATAAATAAATAAGGAATTATTATTTTTATTGTTATATTTATTAGGTTCCTTCTATGCTGCAGCATATGCAGCAGCAGTATCTTGCTGCTGCTTATGCTGCTGCTGCTGCTACTGCTGCTGCTGCTGCTGCTGCTGCTGCTGCTGTCTTGTAAGAGATTTAGAGGAGGGGGAGCACCTAAGGGTATCTCGGGGGAGGCGGAGACCTAAAAGGAGACAATAAACAGCAGCAGCACCAGCAGCAGCAGCAGCACAAGAAGCAGAAACATAATCAGCAGCAGCAGCAGCAGCAGCAGTAGCAGCAGCAGCAATAGCAGGAGTATGTAACATGCATGCATATCTCCATCATCCTGTTGACTAAGGAGACCCAACAGACCTTATTCAATACAGCAGCAGCAGCAGCAGCAGCAGCAGCAGCAGCAGCAGGAGGAGTATATATACCTGTAGATCTCCATCATATAATTGTACAAGGAGACCATAAAGTGTCTCTTTTTTATTATTAATAAAAACCCTAGCTATAGGCAAGGACCAATGATATAATTCTCTACCTAATAAGGAAACTATTGATACTTTTTCCTCTATTGGTCTATCTGCAGCAGCAGCAGCACAAGTAGCAGCAGCAGCAGCAGGGGAGGAGAAGGAGGAGCAGCAGCAGCACACACACCACAATAAGAGATTTCTTTATTATATAAGACGCAAGAGATACATAGATAGATAGCTAGCTAGCTAGCTAGCTAGCTATATAGGTAGGTAGATAGCTAGCTAGCTATATAGGTAGCTAGCTAGCTAGCTAGCTAGTTGGTAGGGAGAACATTAGCATGCTAGTAAATTGATCGTTTAGTGTTTACTGCTTACTGTTTAGTGTTTAGTGTTTAGGGTTTATTAGTGTTTAGGGTTTAGGGTTTAGTGTTTAGGGTTTACCTCGTATTTATTCCTGTATGTTTATCTTTTAGGGTTTGCATTAATGTATTGAATATACTACCGCTGTTTATTTCTTCTAGTGTTTACTATTTAGTGTTTAGTGTTTGTTTGTGCTTATGAGGGTTTAGGGTTTAGGGTTTAGGGCTTATGAGGGTTTAGGGTTTAGGGTTTAGGGTTTACCGTCGATTTTTTTCCACATTTCCTTATTAATTTGTTTAAGGGTTTATATTAATGTATTGAATATTATTCCTGTATTTATTTCTTCTAGTGTTTATTATTTAGTGTTTAGGTATTTTTAGGGTTTATTAGTATTTTTTAGGGTTTAGGGTTTTGTAGGGTTTAGGGTTTAGGGTTTAGGGTTTAGGGTTTACCTTGGATTTTTTTCCACATTTCCTTATCAATTTGTTTAAGGGTTTGTATTAATGTATTGAATATAGTTCCTGTCTCTTTTATTTCCTCAATAAAACATTTAGTGTTTATTGCTGCCTTTAAGGGTTTATAATGCTGCAGCAGCAGCATAGGGGATAATGATGGTTCTTGCTGCAGTTGCTGCAGCACATTTAGTATCTCCTGCTGCTGCTGCTGCTGCTGCTCAGAGGGAGCAGCAGCACCTGCAGCAGCAGCAGCAGCAGGAGCAGCACCATCACCAACAAATAGCTGCTGCAGTGCTGTTACTATTGATTCATCCTTTAGATCTATTGACCTGTATATACATAACACCACATAAACCCTAAACCCTAAACCCTAAACCCTAAACCCTAGAACGTATCTCCCTTATCTACGTAGCTAGCTAGCTAGCTAGCTAGCTAGCTAGATATATATATAGATGTACTTACTTGATTTCTTGTGAGAGGGTTTTAAGGGCAGAAAGTTCTTGGGGTTTAAAATTAGGGTTTAGATTAGGGTTTAGATTAGGGTTTAGATTAGGGTTTAGATTAGGGTTTATATTTTCTGCTGCAGAGAAGAGAGAAGATAAGCTACGTAGACGAAATAATTTAACAGCAAGTTTAGTATTATTTGCTGCTGCTGTTGCTGCTTCTGTACTATTATATATCCCTGCAGCAGCAGCAGCAGCAGCAGCAGCTGCTGCTGCCTTGCTGCAGGAAATAGATAAACCCTCCCTTAATGGATAAACCTCCCCGTAAGTCCCTCCGCCTATTTTGTTGCTTAGTGCAGCAAAAGGTACATGGCATAGAGGAAGGGATAACCCTAATTGTATATTCTCTGCTGCTGCTGCTGCTGCTGCTGCTGCTGTTGCTGCTGCTGTTGCTCCCTGTGCAGCAGGAGCGGGGATACGAACATGACCAGGCAAACGTAATAATAAAGGAGAAAATGCTGAATTCAATACACACACATAAACCCTAAACCCTAAACCCTAAACCCTAATTCAGATTTTCTAAACCCTAATAAACCCTGTATACTGTAGGCAGTTCGTGAATCGCAAACCCTAAACCCTAAACCCTAGGTGCTGCTGCTGCGCCTTCTTAAGACATCTCTTGAGAAATATCCAGAATTAGGGTTTAGGGTTTAGGGTTTAGGGTTTACCAGAAGAGATTGAATGGTGTTCTTCAGCACCTTCGGTTGGCGACTGCAAAAAGGAGTGTTTAGGGTTTAGGGTTTGCTGCTGCAGCAAACCCTCGTGCTGCAGCAAATCCTCCTGCTGCAGCAAACCCCAGTCATGGCGGCGAACAGATCGCAGACGATGAAGGGACTCCCCTGCTGCTGCTGCTGTTGCTGCTGTTGCTGCTGTTGCTGCTGTTACTGCTGCTGCAGAGCTGCTGCTGCTGCTGCAGCAAAAGAGGGCTGCAGCAGCAAACACTGCAGCTGCCCATACACCCCGGCTGCACCGAAGAAGACAGAACCGCCTTACATGCTGCTGCTGCTGCTGCACTCTTTGCTGCTGCTGCTGCTGCTGCTGAAGAGTGAGGCCGACCGCAGCCGACACCGATTCTTGCTGCTGCTCCTGCTGCTGCTGTTGCTGCTGCTGCTGCTGCTTGATCACCTCTTGTCTGTGAGACTCTTGGTGTATTGTGTATTGTATCTGCTTCTGTTGTTGTTGCCGTTGCAGCAAATGGTGCTGCTGCTGCTGCTGTTGCTGCTGTTGCTGCTGCTGCTGCTGCGCACCAGTGGTCTCGCTGGCTGCGGGGTCGGCCGGCCAAAGGGAGGGGAGAGGAAACATTTTCTTGTCTATTCACATTGTAAACCCTAAACCCTTTTTAAAGAAATACCTAAACCCTAAACCCTAAACCCTAAACCCTAAACCCTTGAATGTATGTCGGCGAAGGCAGACGGTTTAGGGACGCGACCGCGACTCGACAGGGCCACCTCTCTGAGTCTTGAAAACCCTAAACCCTAAACCCTAAACCCTAAACCCTAAACCCTTATCCCTAAACCTTAAATCCTATATACTAAATGCTTTTTAAGTTCAAGAATAGATTAAAAAGAAGAGACTGCAACCAGCAGCAGCAGCAGCAGCTGCTGCTGCTGCTGCTGCTGCTGCTGTACGGCTTATACAGGCCCGCTCGGCGAGTAGGGGGCCTCGGGGAGCCTGAGGGTTTAGGGTTTAGGGTTTAGGGTTTATCCTTTAGAGGGGTTCATTAACTTTAGGGTTTTATTTTATCTTACTTCTTGCCTTCTTATACATAAAGACAAACAATACAAACCCTGCAGCAGCAAGCAGCAGCAGCTGCTGCCGACCTGCAGGGCCTCAGCCCCCCCTCTCGAGGGTTTAGGGTTTATAGAAGACTTGAAGTTTTCTGCGTCTAATGAACAACATAGACAAGCATATATGAAGCCAGAAACTATGAAGCCCAGCTGCTGCTGCTGCTGCAGCAGCAGCAGCAGCTGAATCTGCAGCAGCAGCAGCAGCAACTGTTACCCCCACTGTTGCCACGGGCCGGGTTGCGGGACTATAAACCCTAAACCCTAAACCCTAATGTGTACTCTACAAACCCTCCTATGTCTGCACATGCAGCTCATGTGGATCCCTCCGGGTTCCACATAATGTCTGCACACCTAAAAACCCTAAACCCTAAACCCTAAACCCTGCCTGCTGCTTCGAAACCCCAAGGCGATACAGCCTGCAGCAGCTTCAGCAGATACCCTGCAGCACCAGCAGCAACAGCAGCAGCAGCAGCAGCACGAAAACCTACCGTACCTCTGCTGTCCCCTAGCCTCGACCCCCCTGCTAGGTAGCTGTCTAGCTAGGTAGCTAGCTGTCAATACAGCTAGCTGGCTAGTTAGCTATATTAGTTAGTTAGTTAGTTACCTATCTAGTTAGCTAGATCCCTAGCTAGCTAGCTAGCTAGCCAGCCAGCCAGCTAGCTAGCTAGCTAGCTGGCTAGCTAGCCAGCAGCAAGGAATATCTGTATAGGGGTTTAAACTTTAAAATAAAGAAGAAGAGTTAAACCCTGCAAACCCTAATTGGGGTGTATAGGGAGCTAAACCCTGTAAACCCTAATTGGGGTGTATAGAGAGTTAAACCCTGCAAACCCTAATTGGGGTGTATAGGCAGGTGAATAAAACGATGATGCATTGATAGAGGAAGACAAAAATATATATATATAAATAAATAAATATATATATGTCTTAAACCCTAAACCCTAAACCCTAAACCCTAGGGATATAACTAAAACAGGATTCATGAGTTATATACAAATATTAGACGATGTGCTTCTCAAGGAATGCTAAAAAACGCCCTGAATACAGCAGCAGCAGCAGCAGCAGCAGCAGCAGCAGCAGCAAAACATGCAGCAGCTTCTACGGCTTAGGGTTTAGGGTTTTGGGTTTAGGGTTCGGATTCGGCTGTGAAAGGTTAGTACAGCCAGAGGACAAACAGAAACAACGAGCAAGGCAGATGTGGTTCAGCAAGGGTTTAGGGTTTAGGCTTTAGGGTTTAGGGTTTAGGGTTTAGGGTTTAGGGTTTAGGGTTTACTGGCATAGAAGGCCGGGTTAACACAAGAAATTCCCTGTGCATCGCAAGTCCTACAAAGAGTACAACAGCAGAGACAAATTGAGTGTTTAGGGTTTAGGGTTTAGGGTTTACTGGTGTATACAGCAATTAAGAAGAAGACCGAGTTGTGCATCCCGTCTCCATCTAAACAAATTAGTGTTTAGTGTTTATACAGTTTATAGAATTTAGGGTATATAATATTTAGGGTTTAGGGTTTATAATATTTAGGGTTTAGGGTTTATAATTTTTAGGGTTTAGGGTTTAGGGTTTAGGGTAGAATTCGTACTGTACAGTCTTAACAGCATGCTCTGTCCTCTTAAATGTTCCCCATTTAGTTAATATATCTATAACACCAACATAAAATAATTTATTGCCATCCTCGCTAGCTAACCCTCCTAAATCTCGCCGCCAAAAGGGTAATTCCGCTGAAAAAAAAAAAAAAAAAATTCACAAACCCTAAACCCTAAACCCTAAACCCTAAACCCTAATTTAGGGTTTTTGGAGGAAATAGTCAGCATTAAAATTTTTGTTCAAAAATTTGAATATTATGGTTATAATATTCTATATAAATAAAGGAGGTAAGGATCTACTATTAAGAGGGAATAAACCCTAAACCCTAGATAAACCCTAAACCCTAAACCCTCGCTGCTGTGTGCATATCTCTTACGTTTGTCGGGACTGCTCGATTGGCTTGTGCTGCGCAGCCACAATTCACAAAAGAAAACTTTACACCATACACACCAAACCCTAAACCCTAAACCCTAAACCCTAATTTAATTGTACTCACAGAACTGAAGGCATTGAAGGTCTTCCGAAGCTTCCTTCGGACGCTGGTGCTGCAGAAAACCACAAAACCCTAAACCCTAAACCCTAATCCGTGTATCCCAAGGCCTAACTAGGTATAGCTGGGGAGCCTGCTGCCGCGAACACGCCGTGATAGATATAAAAAGCCATTTATAGGGTTTTTAGGGTTTAGGGTTTAGGGTTTAGGGTTTACATGGATTTTTATTAGAATAATAAATGCCAACAAGAAGAGAATAATCAACAAGACGATGAATATACAAGAAGTGCGCATCTTTGCGCAGCTGCTGCAGCAGCCGTGCTGCTCGCTCAGGGCCAATATTTATCTGCAAAAACACTAGACCCTAAACCCTAAACCCTAAACCCTAGAAAACCCTTGAAAGACTGTAGACACCCCTTAGTACGGACTCTATAATGGCACAACGACTGTACTGCCCCAATATGCCTAAACCCTAAACCCTAAGCCATAATTCCGTAAACCCTAAACCCTAAACCCTTTTATCCGCACCTTTTCTCCTTCTCTTTCAAGGTCATTGTCCTTAAGGGCCACTGTTGGATCCCTGCAGAGACATAAACACTAATTGTCTCCTTTCTTTTTTTGTCTCTTCCTTTATATCTCTTGTTTCTCCTTTTGTGTTTTATTTGCTTATTGTTTCGAGGGGCTTTTTAAGGGTTTACGATTTAGGTTTTAGGGGTTTTTGAGGGTTTAGGGTTTAGGGTTTAGGGT